TTTATTTATTTATTTTTATTTTTAAAATATATTTTATTGATTTGTTTCCAGAGAGGAAGGGAGAGGGATAGAGAGTTAGAAACATCGATGAGAGAGAAACATCGATTCAGCTGCCTTCTGTACATTCCCCACTGGGGATGTGCCCGCAACCAAGGTACATGTCCCTGACCAGAATCGAACCCGGGACCCTTCAGTCCGCAGTCCGATGTTCTATCCACTGAGCCAAACTGGTTAGGGCTCATTACTTAGTTTATTAGCACCTCAGTTTCCTCATCTGAAAAATGGGAATAATAATAATACATATCCCATAATATTAAGAGAAGTAGATGAGTTCATATATGTAATATACTTAGAACAAGCCTGACACTTAGTACTTGATGTTACTTGTAGTTTACACGTGTACTCACATAATCCCAAGTACACTCACCGACACATGTGTGTACCCACATGCACATCCTACACATGTGCACATGCATGTGTGTGCAAACACACAAGCACACACATTGGCAGGTGTATGCACATGTACACACACCCATGCTTCCCCCACCCCCAGGCCTTACCAAAGGAGCACCTTGCCGCCGTTGTCTTCGGGCCAGGCCACTACGCACTTGGTGGCTCCCTGGTCCATGATGATGGTGGAGTAGAAACACTGGGGAAAGGCGAGGGCCAGGGCCACCAGCCAGATGCCAGCAATAACCGCTCTGGTGCCAGGGGCTGAGAGCCGTGGCTGGAAGGGGTGGACGATGGCTATATACCTGTGAGCAAGGGACAGTATAAGCAGTGGGCGCCTTCCTGTCACACCAGCCCCTCCTGCTCCCCCACTGCAGGCCCACACCTCTAGCCCCGTTCCCCACATGCTGCTGGTGACCTGCAGAGAGCCAGCTGGGCTGCTGGCTTTCCCACAGCCACATGGCACACTGTGGCCTAAACCCCAGCCCAGACCCCCAGTACATGCCTCCCTTTGAGAATGGACTTGCTCTCCGTGGCCACAAGAGAGCAGTGTGGTCATATTGGAAGTCCATCTCTGGACATTTGTCTGAAGCTCAGCCCTAGGCCAGTCCCTCTTCTGTTCAGAAACCTGAGCAGAGCCCAGCAGTCCCCTGGACAGAGCCCACAGTAGCGCTGCCGCCAGCCTTCTGCAATGGTGGAAACGCTCTCTATATGCACTGTCCTGTTCAGGCAGTTTTAATTAATTAGAACTTAAATAGGCACATACGGCCACAGCTCCGTTATCGGACAGCACAGGCCCAAACCTTTAAACGCGGCATTCAATGCCCTCTGCATGTGGCCAGTGCACTGTCCAGCACCTTCCCTGGCTTCCTCTGGTGATGGAACAGCCTGCCTGTGTGACCCTTTGCGGTATAGCACACAGGATTATGAAGACAATCAGTTACACTGAAATAACATCATTAAAATATAAAATAAAGTTGGGGCATTATAGTAATATGTCTGCTTCTTTATCCATCCACTAAACAACAAGATCTACCAGCAGGTCTGGAAACTATGGTGATTTTGAAGTAGTGATTGATGAGTGTAGGCGATACTTTGAGATTCTGCACAACAGAAGTACCTGTGATACCGGTATCTATTGGTGACAGTCCCAGGCCCTGCTGGAGTCCCAGCGAACCGTGGTGTGCTGCCTACATTGGTAATTGCGACCCCCCATCTAAATTCATGACCCCCTCATATTTCGCTCACAGTCCACGGTCACAGCTGGTGCACCTCTGGACTAGATGACTATTGACCCAGCCCTGCCCACCCTGTGACACTGACCTTCTCCCTTGACTGTGGCCTGGCCCCGGGCCAGACCTACCCCTCCACAGCCCGGACCCAGGCCGAGTACCTTAGCAGGAGAAGTAGGCCATGTTCCTCAAGGTTCATCTTTTTTTTTTTTTTTTTGACCCTTCTGTCTTTTAAAAAGTAAATATATTATTTTTTGATTTCAGAGAGAAAGGGAGAGGGAGAGAGAGATAGAAACGTCAATGATGGCAGAAAGGGAGAGGAGAGAGATAGAAACGTCAATGATGGCAGTGCCCTCGGCGGTCCCGGATCTGTCTTTTGCTTCCACAGTGTTTGGACAGAACAGACCCAGGGACACCCCTTCTTCCAGCCTCCGGTCACCCTCCTGCGTCTTACCAGTCACCACCTTCAGAAGCACCTCCAGGACCAGCCAGCACACGTTTTGTTTTTGTTTGTTTTTCCACCTTAACTCCTTATTGCCGAACACCCATGAGCTCCCAAATTCGTCAGAATTATTCCACCGAGGAGGCGGCTGTGGTCCACCGCCCGGCCAGCCTGCCTCTGCGGGCCCCACACCTCCCTCTCTCGGGGCTTCCACTTTGACCACAAGGGTGTAGCTTTTGGGGGCGGGGGCCGCTTCTTCCCCGAGTTGGCGGAGGAGAAGCACGAGGGCCCTGAGCGTCTCTTAAAGCTGCAAAACAAGCGCGGAGGCCGCCTTCTCCTCCAGGACGCACTGAAGCCGCCCAAAGTGAGCGGGCAAAACTCAGGACGCCATGGAGCCGCCCTGGCCTTGGAGAGGAACCGGAACCAGGCCCTTTGGATCTGCAGGCCCTGGTTCTACCCACACAGACCTCTGTGACTTCCTGCAGAACCACTTCCAGGGTGAGGAGGTGAAGCTCATCAAGAAGATGGGCGACACCTGACTCACCTCCGCTGGTTGCAGCCCCCAGGCTGGGCGGGGGGCTGGGCTGGGCGAGAGTCTCTTCGAACGGCTCACCCTCAAGCACAACTAGGAGCCTTTGGAGCCCAGAGGCCTTTGAGGGGCCCCTCTGCATCCCCTGGTGTCTGGCTTTAACCTGAGCCTCTCCCCAAAACTATTAGCCATTCTTTTAACACCCTGAAGCCCTCCCCCGTGCATTGGACCAAATAAAACAATAAAGTTTTTTGAAGCCAAAAAAAGAAAGAAAGAAAGAAAGAAAGAAAGAAAGAAAGAAAGAAAGAAAGAAAGAAAGAAAGAAAAGAAAGAAAAAGAAAAAGAAATCAATGATGAGAATCATTAGTCGGCTGCCTCCTGCATGCCCCCTACTGGGTGTCGAGCCCACAATCCGGGCATGGGTCTCAAACAAGAATTGAACTGTGACCTCCTGGTTCATGAATTGATGCTCAACCACAGAGCCACACTGGCTGGGTCCTCAAGGTTCTTGAGGATTCTGCATCCCCATCGATGATGTAGGTGACCAGAGTCAACGGGTAGGCTTAGGTGTCCTTCCTGCTCTAGGAGGTGGGGTGGGAGAGGAGAGCTTTTCTTCGTGGTCTATTACAGAGGAGCGGCCGTGGACAGTAGGACCAGCTTCACGTGTTATTTATTACTTATTTATTTGTTATTTATTATTTACTTGGCCCTTGCCCTGAGCTGTATGCCTTGAAGTCTGGGGCATGAAGTGAGCAACCAACTGTGCCCAAGAGCATTTCCGCCCCGTCTTGGTCTTGGTGAGGACTCGCTCCGTGCTGCTCCCCACACCCCCCAGGCATGCTCCTGCCGCGGGCTGTGGCTGCTGCTGCGCCTGCTGCCTGGAACATTCCTTCCCCAGAGCCCGGGAGGCTCATTCTCTCGCCTCCCTTCTGTCTGCTCAAATCCTACCCTCACAACGAGTCCAGTTCTGACGCCGTGTCTAACACTACAACCTGTCCCCACCCCAACACACCCCCGCTAGCACCTCGGGTTCCCTTCCCCTTCCTAACATTCCCCATAGCACTGCTGGAGTCCCGGCGAACTGGGACTCCACATGCCATGGATAATTTATTTATGCATGCATTTATTATTTAACTTCTCACCAGGGCAGGCATTTTTCTCTGTTCTTCCCGCCCCCTTCAATGCCCAGAACAGCATCTCTACATAGTAGGCATTGAACATAGGAATGACTGAAGAAATGAATGGACAAGTCTCCACTTTACCACCCTGACCGGAGCCACCCTCCTCTCTCACCTGGATTACTATTCAACAGCCTCCTGCCTGGTCTCCTGGAAGTTTTAAAAAGGAAGCTTTTATGAGGTCATGATTTGGGGACTATTGTCTCCTATTGCTGTATATTCCCAATGCCTGAAATAGACGACACACTCAAAATACTTGTTGAGTAAAAGGAAGAAAATCTTAGTGGGACTTTCAGTTATATCCGGGGGGTGTTAAGGGTCTTTTTTGTGGTGGCAGTGGTGTGTGTGTCTGGGTTCCGGTCACCCGGTCCTGCCCTTGACTTGCTGGCTGACGGCAGGGGATCCTGAACATCTCTCTAGCCTCAGTTTCCCTGGATGCAAAATTAGAACGTGTGTCTAGATCAGCGGTTCTCAACCTGTGGGTCGCGACCCCTTTGGGGGTCGAACGACCCTTTCACAGGGGTCTCCTAAGACCATCGGAAAACACATATATAATTACATATTGTTTTTGTGATTAATCACTATGCTTTAATTATGTTCCATTTGTAACAATGAAAATACATCCTGCATATCAAATATTTACATTACGATTCATAACAGTAGCAAAATTACAGTTATGAAGTAGCAACGAAAATAATTTTATGGTTGGGGATCACCACAACATGAGGAACTGCATTAAAGGGTCATGGCATTAGGAAGGTTGAGAACCACTGGTCTAGATGAATGGTCTTAAAACTTTCTTTTTGTTGTTAATTAGTAGAAACAAATTTCTCAAATGAAATCTTCAGAGAAACTATAATAAAACAGCCAAGAGCAGAGAAGTGAGCTGCTGTAGGTGAGAGGTTGCCGGGGTAGTTGGGTTGGGCTGGGAAACCGTGAGCCGCATCAAACCATCCTGACCAGGAGTCTGCGTCTCCGAGGGTCCGGGCTCCCACCCTGCCTCCCATACCGTCTGGTGTCTTTTCTCTGTTTCTTTTTGTTTGTCTCAACCACACTCCCCCAGGGGCACACAGTCCCCCTCTGCATTCACACCTGGCCCTGCTTGCCCCAGCGCCCAGTTTACAAGGATCTCGTATCTGCCCACTGATCACTCCTCCATTCCTCCCCGACCCCTTCAGCAGAAGTCAGTCTGCAGCCCCTGACAGCAGGCACGGGAAAATAATGGTCTCCGTGTAATGATATGCTAACTGCATGCAATATTAAACCCCCCCTCGTATAATCTCTCTAGTAGTAGGAAAACTGTATGAGCAATTTCCTTGTAGCAAAAGACAGACCCCACAGCAAAGAGCAACTTCAGAGTAGAACACTCCAGAAAGTTCCTTAAACACTGCCACTCTTGCCCTGCCTTGAACAACCATCTGGTGTGAAGTTCTCCCTGAGTCTAGCCTTCACCTCACCTGCTTCAGCCCCACAGTCCCCTGCCTTCCCGATGTGTAGGTTTGGATCATGACCAGGTTGGGAGGCAATTCCCTGGGTTCAGTCACCAGCCCCGTCTGAGCCCCAGCAGTGTGAGCCAGCTCCCCCCAGCTTCTCCCAACCCCTCTGCCTCTTGCCTGTCTGCGGCGATGGCGGTCATGGAGTAGATGCTGACGAACATGACCGTGACGGGGAAGAGGTTCTGGAAATAGCAGAAGGCGCGGCCGAAGTACCAGATGTTGTGGCTGGCGTAGACGAAGTTGAAGACAGCGTTGAAGGCGGCCATGCAGAGGTCGGCTAGGGCCAGGTTGACAATGAAGTAGTTGGTGACCGTGCGCATCCTCTGATGGGCCAGGATGATCCAGATGACCGTGGCGTTGCCCGTCACGGCCACCAGCACGAGGACCAGGTAGGCCGCAGCCCACAGTGCCAGCTGCCAGCCGGGCATGGAGAAGGTGGTGATGCCCGTGGTGTTGCTCTCAAGGCCAGAGGAGATGTTGGCATCAGTCTCCACAGTACAGGTCCCCATGGCTGCCTCTGGGTCTGGCTCCTCAGCTCCTTCCGCACCCTGGTGCCCTGCCCGGATATGCCATAGGAGAGAAATCCTCTGGGTGTGAGTATATGGGGGAGAGAGAAGTAGGTGCAAACCCAGGCACGTCAGGGAAAGCAGGGGTCACTCCCAAGTCTCAAGCAGAGATGAGTCCGGCTGAGGGAGAGCTGGTTCCAGGGCCATTGGCATGTCAGCTTCCCAGGTCCCGGCCAGACTTCTGCAATGGCACCTGGAAGTCTAGCGTCTGAGACACGGCTTCAGAGCAGGCGATGTCCTTGTAAATGATCAGTCAGTCACCACTTCACCGCAGAGATGGAAAAACAGATTCCAAGGGGAGGTGACCATGTGACCAGCCCAAGTCACTCAGTACATTGGTGACAAGCCAGGACGCAAACCCAGGTCCCCCCTAATATTATTCAGGAACCGGCCTGAGTCAGATGAGCACACAGCAGCAGTCTTCGATTCCACAGGTCAGCCGCTGTCTCCCCAGGCTTCGGGGTGCAGGCTGGGCTGCCAGCCCGCGGACCGCTGCCTTCCCCGCTGCT